TTTTTTTTGAAAGTCATAATGCAAGCATCAACTAATAAGCGAAAAGGGGAGAATGTCATAACACAGAATGCACAGCCTACTAAAACCAAATTGTCGAGACAGGCCCGTACACGCAAAAACAAAAAACTTAGGCGTGATTAGAAACAAGCTAAGATGCTTCACAAGCTGGATGTTGACATCCCTTTGCTAATTGATGATATCATCTTCGATCCATCTTGGCATCAAATCCAATCCACCACCTGAAAAATATCCGCTAATGATAATATTTATTATTTGGAGAGTTTTTCTCACAAGCTTGAAAAAACAAAAAATTATTTTTTTCGAATGAAATGAGAAAAAAAAGATCGGGTATCAACCAAAAAAAATAAGACTCGGTACAACATATTGGCCAGAGAATTGCTAATTGAAACTCTAATTAGAGAAGCAAAATCCTCTGACAGTAACTCTTTTGAGTTGCCCGAGATTCCGTCAAACTTTTTCTCTCTGATCTATACTGACATTATTAGAGAGACCGATGTCGGCATTGAGGGATCATTGCCTAATACTACTAATAAGTGATTGTGGGTTGCTTTTGGCCAGTAGCTAGGCTTAAAAGAACAGGATGGTCCATTAAAAAGAAAGCACGTATGACAGCACCTCAGGTTGTTATGGAAAAAAACTCCAGTACACTCATAATATCCAAAGTGATAGGGACTTTCAAGATCTTTTTGACACAGCTACCGCTTTTAATACTTGAAGAGAAAAGGCACGTCTGATCATATCAGCATATCATAATCCCCAATCGATAAGTGAATTGGTCTAATTCAAATATATAGCGGAACCAGAGTGCATCACAGATCTAAGTGGCCGAACATTGGTTTACTTAGAGCAACTCGATGACTACAATGCCGTTATACTTGTAACCAATACTGTAAATAATTATTATTTCTATACGTTAAAGCATCTATCACATCGAAGCAACAAATTTTGAACCAATTTTATCGAACATTTCAGGGCTTATACCAGAAACAACTTGCTCTCTTTTACAAGCTCCAATATTGCAAGTACGCATAACATTGATCACCATGAATGTGTCAACAAATTACTTCAAGGTCTCAAGGCATTATCGGACTGTATCAACCGGTTCCTCCAAGACTATTATGGAGATTTATATACAAAATTGAGCAGGCTATCATGGGGTCTATTTGCGCCAAAGCTCTTTGGAGTTTTCCCAATAATAGCTATTAATTTTAATACCACTAGTGACTATCATTGGGATGAGCATAATGAGGCAAATAGTTTATGTATCTTAGTTGCACTAGGGGGTTACAAAGGAGGAGAGTTATGTTTTTCTTAGCTCCAAATGGTCGTACATCTTAGGCCAGGACAAATCGTAGCATTTGCCTCACGTTTATTACTTCATGATAATTTTTTAGTCACTAGAGAGATCTGGCATAGTGTCATTTATTTTGTACATGGCATATTTTTTTACCATTTACGGGATTTTACTGAAGCTTATATTAAGGCTGAAATTAAGAAAGTTGCTAATAGACTAATGATTTCTGAGCAAGATCTCAATAATACTTAGGGTTTGAACCACTGGACCCATTTCCCCAAACCAAAAGCAAAACAAATATAGGTTCCTTCTGCTATATCTGATTGGAGATGAGAATATATAGGTATGAATTGTTTTATGATGCTATATTATATATAGACAAAAAACATAGTTCTTAATAATCAACGTTTCTCTAGATTTAGCACGTGCTCGACAAAGGAAGATCTGCTTCCAGATTTATAGTAGTTATGTTTCATGTATGATATTTGTACGTGTGTCTTCTTTATTAAAGGCGCTTAAGAAGTCTTATTTCCTTATCACTATTTTCTATTTACATTTCTGCACTGTATTACTTAATGTATTATTATAAGTAAATAATCAAAATCAATCGATACTACTATGCTCATGTGATGAATAAGTACCATGGTGAAATCGATCATCAAAAATTCGGAAAAATTATTGCCAAGACACGATTTGTTGTACGAATATTTATGAAGGTAAACCCACCCCTTGAAGATACAGAGCGCTAAACTACTGTATAATTAATGTTCTGATTATCCTTTTCTAAGCAATAATATACAGCTCAAAACTAAATATAACAAACCACATAGGAGATTAATTAACATGCATGGAGCATAGTTCCCTACTTATATAAATCTCTTTTCCCATATTTTTTAACTATAAATTTTATTG